TGTTTTAGATCAGTGTTTCTCAACCAGTGGTACAAGTACCCTTAGGGGTACTCGAAAGAAGTCTGGGGAGGAGGGGACATCAACAACTGAAATTTGGAGAAAACTGAATTTTTGTTTTAAATTTTACAGCATTTTATTATTTTTGTATTTTACACACCCAAAAATGTCATTGCCCACCTGGCTACAATTAAGTAGTTCAAACAAATGTGTTGCAATGATAGAAAAAAAAATTGTGTGTCTGAAAACCGTAGGTACTGGGGGTACTTATAATTGAGGGTTTTTTTTGTTTTTTTTTAAAGAGGTACTTTTTTTTAAAAAAAAATAAAGGTTAAGAAACACTGTTTTAGATCATTTATTGCCTGGGATAAAAACTAAAATGAAATGCAATTGCCTGCAAGATTCTCCTAAACGGACAAAACAATAAGATTCTTATTGCAGAGAGCCACACAACTCTAAGTAGTGGGAGTCATTGATGGATGGCATTTGGAGAAAGCTGGCAATTTATATGCAAACTTTCAACCCACAACAGTTAAGGTATAAGCCAGCACCTTCTCACTCTTCTGGTAGCTCGAAAGGATTGCTGACTCATTTAGTGGATGCTCTCCAGGGAGCCAGGAGTGGTGGTAACAGAAGTGTGCTTTGAACCTGCCTAGTGTGTGCAAAAGGACACTAAATCTGAGAACTAAATCTTAGCATCCTCATTTCAAAGGACTGTATTGCAAATAAAAACCACACTCACCTCCTGCCAAAAAAGGAGGGATGTGGCTGCCAATTTTAACCTAAGTTCCTCCAACTGAGCTGAGACCAGGAGGGAGTTCTGCTTACATATTTTTACACAGCTTAATGGAAGGGCAGGAACAGAGCCAACTTTCTTCACTTTATTCTGCACTTGCTTTAAGTAATATAAATGTAATTTGCATCAGCAGAGCAAGGTTGTATTCACAGCGTCGCAGGCCCTGGAGGGAAAAGTCACCTAGCAGTACCGACACTGGTGGAAAAAGCAGAATAGCGTCTAATGTGAAGGAAAACAGACACACGCCGGTGTTTACAAATGCAAGGTAATGCACAATGGAAGACACTATTTACGTGCATTATGGTTAATGTAGAACTCAGCAACCATCTGGGAGTTACTGTGGGCAGGCCTGCTGACCAGTGGGAGGGAGTGGCCAAAAGGGGCAACTGCCCCAGGGCCTCGTTATTTAAAGGACCACTCGGAGTCCCGGCCCTTCTGAATCACTGCCAGAGCCCCGGACAGCACACGACCAACAGCACTGGGAAGGCCGCGGTCTGGGTGGTGCTGAGGGCCATCTGCCCCGGCTCTGCCCCTTCTGGGAGCATGGAACCACTGTCGGCTCGCCTGACTGGGCAACTCAGTGAAAATATCTGCTCCCTGCCACGGGCAGTGCAGGCAAAAAGAAGCCCAAATCTTAAGAGTGTTTAAAGAACCCACAGAAAGACAGATTCAGATTCCAAGGACAGAAGGAACCACTGGCGTCAGACTGACCTCCTGGTTTATCCGAGCCACAGAACGGCCCTAGAGCAGTTCCTACACCAGCTCTTTTAGCTAGGATAGGAAATAACATTGGTAACATTATAGTGGCCTTCTCGCTCAGGATGTTAAATATCAAATAATTTACTAGTCGATGGAATTTCCATCGACGACTCGACAGGCACTTCCGCATTCCTTCTCTGAAACGTACAACGGGGAGTCTTGTGCATTTCAACGTTGGAACTCTGTGTGCAGCCCGGGGCCAGTGAGAAGTCCCGCCGACTCCAGGCTCCATGCAGGCTCTTCCACTGGGACTCTTGGGCATTTCAAGGCAGAAGCATGGACCCCGGCATCAGCGGGACTTCCCTCTGGCCCCGGGCTGCCAGTTTTGAAACGTGCAAGAGTCCCCAGAGGAGGCTCTTGTGCATTTCAAAGTGGAAGTGCCAGCATGGAGCCTGCGGTCAGTGGGGGACTCGGTCTCCCGCGGACCCCGGGTTCCATGAAGCACTGCCACTCTGAAATGCCGCCCAGAGCAGAGGGTCAGCTTCCCTTGCTCCTCACAAAATGAGGAGTACATAATGTCAGCAAGGGCTGCCCTCAGCGTTCGTTTTGGGGGGCTACGCTAGACACACTACCTCGAACGCTAGAAGATCGACCTCAGGAGGTCGACCTCGATCTTCTCCGTAGTGTAGACACGCCCTTAGTGTTAAATTCTGCGCAGTTATAGCCACTGAAATCCAGAACAGCTCCACTGCACATGAAATGGATTAGTCTAAATTTACACGGGTGCTACTGGACCAAACTGAGCCATCAAGTCCTCTGGTAAATGTGGAGGCATCTTCAGAGACTCTGCGGAGATGATAAAAGGTAGCTAACTGGTTTGGATGACTCCATATGCAATAAAATTTCTGAGAAAATAATTCACTGTAGTGTTCCAAGATTTTAATGTGGCCTTTGAACGTTACACCAATGCTAACCCAAGCTACCTCATGCTTCATCTACAACAAGCATTAGAGCTTGCCAAGTCTTCTAAAATACATCCTCTAAGTCAGTGGTCTCCAACCTTGTTAAATTGGAAGAGTGATCTTGTGGTTAAGTGCAATTTAAGATCTACCTCAAACCCAAATACCCTCGCCCCATCTCCTTCCCACCCCTTCTCTGAGGCCTCACCCTGCTCACTCCATCCCCCTTTCTCCCCCACCTTCACTCACTTTCACCAGGCTGGAGTAGGGGCTTATGGTGCAAGCTCTGGCCTTGGGCCAAGAGGTTCGGAGTGTGGGAGGGGCTCTGGGCTTAGCTCAGGAGGAGTTCCAGGGTGCAAACTTTGGGAAGAAGGTTGGATGCAGGGGCACTAACTTCTGGGTGCAGGAGGAGGTTCAGGTCTGGGACAGGGGTTCAGGGAGCAGGCTCTGGCTGGGCACTGTTTAACTGAGAGAGCTTCCGGGTGGTGGAGCAGTGGGGTTAAGGCAGCTTGCTCCTGCCCTGGCCCTGCACCACTCCTGAAAGCAGCTGGCCCGTACAGCAATGGCTCCATAGCACCATGTGCTGCCCCTCATCTACAGGCACTGAGCCCACAGCTTCTCCTGGCCGCGGTTCCCCACCACTGATCAACGGGAGCTGCAGGAGTGGTGTCTGCAGGCAAGGACAGCCTGTGGAGACCCCCTGCTCTGCCTTTCCCAGGGGCTGCAGGGACACGCCAGCCACATCCAGCAGCAGCAATTACCACAGGGATAACGACACCAGCCACAACAGGTTCGGCATTTTAGAACTCACGACTCAAAGAATTACATTTAAGTGTGAGAGAGAAATGAAAAATTATGAAATGCACAGACCCGTCAAAATAACCCACTCTGCAAGCTGTGTGTGGAAGTGGGGTGGAGGAGAGACACCCTGACATCACTGCCCTCGCTCTTCTCCCTCCCACATCCCGCACAGCAAGCAGGAGGCTCCGAAGAGGGCAGCTCCAAGGCAGAGAGCAGGAGCAACATGACAGTGGGTGGAGGGGCAACTGAAGAGCCAGCACTGGATACCTACTGGCCAAACCAGTCGGGATCCCCTCTCAGAGGCTCCAAGATCTACTGGTTGGTGACCACTGCTCTAAGTCATGCTCAGCCAGGAGTCATTGCTCCTTCCTGACCTTGGAAAGGGTTACGGGAGAGGAGGCATTTACCAACCAACAGGGCGCACTGCCGGCACAAATCTTAGCCCTGCAGACTGCAGCAGCAATCTTATTCACAGCCTTTTAAAGCCCACCAACCAACAGGGCGCACTGCCAGCACAAATCTCAGCCCTGCAGACTGCAGCGGCAATCTTATTCACAGCCTTTTAAAGCCCAGTCCTCTCTCTGCTGGCTGTCGATTGTTTCATTTGTTTAAAAAAAAAGTAAATACAGGTGAGGCAAACCCAAGGTTAAAACCTAAGGCACAAAGGAGTTCTGACAGGCCGGCTACACCCTGTTGAGAATGGATGCTGCTGGGTTTACTGCTGATTTAGCTGCTTACATGACTCCCTGGGCAAATTTTAGAGTTGACTTAGGCCAGGTCTACACTAGATCTAGGAGGTCAGCTCAAGATACACAACTCCAGCTATGTAAATAACTAGAGTCGACATACTTTAAGCTGAACTTGGTGCCATCTTCACAGAGAGAGGCTGCTTCCCTTACTCCTCACGACTGAGGAATACGGGCGCCGACCGGGGGCACCCTCAGCATTCAATTTAGCGGGTCTTTACTAGACCTGCTAAATCAAATGCCAGAAGATCGAACTCTGGCGCAGTAAGTATATATGTGGCCTTTGCAAGCAAGAAGCAGGTTTTGGGCAGTGGACTACGTTTCTCTTTCACAACCTTTCAGAGGTGTGATCACAGCCCTGCCAAGAGGGACAAAGAAACATCTCCCCACCTGAGAAGCCCCATTTCAGACTTTCATACCAATGTGTGCTAACTGAACATGCATGTCCTGTTCAGTTACGTAAATGCTCATAGAAAGGCAGATGTTCTGAATGTCCCTACTCATCGTTCTCTCTCTACTGGACTCAAAGCCCTAGGGAATGTCACCTTATTCTAATGAGGTCTGACTACAAATAGCAATGGTGACTCTCTCGCAGAATGCTTATGGCTCCCAAAATGCTTCTGTGCCCCTGAACTAGAAGTTCTGTGCACAGCCCTCTGACAGAGTACTAACGTCTTCACGTAAATCTCAGTAGTAACGAGATCTCGTTAATAAAGTAATTATTCACTTCATTATGGTTTCTTTTTATTTGCCTTCTGGATTTGGGCCTTTTAAGGTGCACCGGGGGGTCAGATCTTCCAGAATTTCTCGGTGTCCATGCAGGCTAGAGATTTCCTAAGACCTATGGTTCTCCTGACTCCAGGAGTTCTGGCTTTAAGTAAAACCACCCTATGGCAGTAGGCTCTCCGTGGCTGCCCTGTGCCTGGCATTTCGCCCATAACACTTGAATGACAACAGACTGCCGAAAGCAAAAAGAACAAGCATGCTGGGACGATGACTTACAGGTAGAGGGAGACGATGTGGGGAGGAGATTTCAGGGCCGGAATTGCTGTCAGCTCGTTGTTGTTCAGGCGTCTGGAACAAACAAAAATGAAATTGTTTAAACAAGCAGCTTACAGAGAAGTATGGACTAGCTCAGCCTGGCTTGAGCTACAGGTTTTGTAGGAACACACACACAGCCAATCACCTGTCATCGAGAGCTTGGCTCGCCTACAAGCCCAATCCTTTGTCAAATGTTTCTGCACTCAGGTGTTGGCAATCGTGGCCCTTCCTAAGTTCCTAACCAAAGCCCGTCTGGTTAAGCCCCTCTTGCGCACTCCAGAGTAGGGATGTAAAATCCCCATTAATCAGTTAACCGGTTAAATGTTTGGCTAAATGTAGCTAGGTTAACCTGTCTCAGAGGGGTAGCTGGGTTAAGTGTGTAACGTAACCAAAAACAAAAAACAAAAAAACTCCAACTTAGAAAACAAGTGGTCCTGTAGCACCTTAGAGACGAACAAAAAATAAACAGAGATAGTATCATGAGCTTGCATGGGCAGAGTCATCTGAAGAAGAGGGTTGTGCCCACGGAAGCGCATGATGCGATTTGTTTTGTTTTTTTAGTCTCTACAGTGCTACAGGACCACTTGCTTTTTAAGCGGTTTTGGGGTTTTTTGGTGCATTTAACCAGTTAACTAAGCGGGATCCCACACTGGGGCTGCGGTTGGCTGTCAGCTCTCAGCTCCAGTTACACCACACTGGCTGCCAGACCTGGAGCCGCCCTCTGCCTGCGGCAGGCCACGAGTGGAGGGCGGCTCCCGGGAAACTGGTTAACTGCTACCCAGTAAGCATCACCCGCTGAGAGGGTAATGCTTACCGGGTAACTTGTTACCTGTGTACATCCCAGAGACACCACACTGAAAAGCATTCGCCCAACACCGTACCAACCTGCGAGCAGGTAACAATGCAGTCCCTACTCCAGCTCAGTTTCCATGGAAACTTCTGGGAGCCAAACCTGAGGGATAACTGGAAGATGCACATCTTTCATGGTAGGCAGACCACGCGTGCACCACCAGTGAAATGAAACCTCCGGACACCTTGGGGGAGCTGTCTCATGGGCCACCAGAGGCACAGAGACAGAGTCTGTGACAGCTGGGAACACTGGCCTGGCGACACCCTCACCGCATTTATTTGCAGGGCAGAATATGGCCCCAGCAGTAAGCCGGGCCCTACCGTGCTAGCCAGGCACCATAGCAGAAGCCCCTGCCCTGAAGAACTTGTCTACACACAATTTTTAATACCATTTTAACTAGATTAGTTCAAAACTAACAAGTGCAACCCTGTGGTGTGGTATCATTTAAAGGGAATAAACTGTAAGATAAGGCACTTAACTGTGGCCGTGCCAGAGACTGCATCACAAAGCCATTTGGGTAAAAAAAAAAAATCGTTTGGTTAAGTTCATAAAAATGTGGTGTGGACAGCATCACAAAGCCATGTGGGTAAAACAATAATCGTTTGGTTAAGTTCATAAAAATGTGGTGTGGACCAGGTCTGTGCGCCAGCGCCTCCCTGGGGACAAATGGAAGAAGCACCACTGAAGAGAAGGGAGGGAGGGAGAGAGTCAGACCACAGTCCTACGAGCACTTATACCCAGTGAGTAGCAATGCATCTTAAGAGCCAATCCAAAGACCCTGGCAGGATTAATCCCAGGCCAGCCCCCCTACCACCACAGTAGGCATCATCTCCGCTGTGAACACTGACACTGATGTATTAACTCGATTCTTCTGACTCTTGGGTAGGCAGCCAGATACTAGGCACTTGGTTCCACTGTTTGAGACCGAAGTGCACAGTTAGCTCTTCTCCGGCACATCTCACTCCTAGATCGCCACGCCCTTTTCAGCAGCAGTCACCACCGTTACCCCGCTTTCTCAGACGGGGGGGTCTCGGAGGCACCGAGAGGGACAAGTGATCTCCCAGAATGTCAGTGCCAGAACTGGGGAACAGAATTCAGCTGTCCTGAAACCCGTGGTTCTGCCCACCAGGCCACACTGCTTCCTCTTAAGGAGGTAAAATCCCAGTTAAAAAGTTAACCGGTTAAGCAAAACGTTTAACAGGTTAACTATGATCCCATGACGGGAGGCTGCTCCAACCCGGCCAGGCCCGCCGCACTACAGACGGGCTGCTCCAGCCAGGCCGGGCCTGCTGGGCCATGAGCAGGGGGTGGGGTGGGGGGGGTTGAACACAGATCTTAGAACACTAGAACTGGAAGGGACCTCGAGAGGTCATCAAGTCCAGTCCCCCTGCCCTCATGGCAGGACCAAGCACCATCTAGACCATCCCTGAAAGGTGTCTGTCCAACCTGCTCTTCCATATTTCCAGAGATGGAGATTCTACAACCTCCCTAGGCAGTTTATTCTAGTGTTTAACCACCCTGACAGTTAGGAAGTTTTTCCTAATGTTCAACCTAAACCCCCCTTGCTGCAGTTTAAGCCCATTGCTTCTTGTTTTATCCTCAAAGGCCAAGGAAAACAATTCCCACCCCCCACCCCCCTCCTCTTTGTAACATGCTTTTAGGTTCTTGAAAACCACTATCATGTCCCCTCTCAGTCTTCTCTTTTCTAAACTAAACATACGTGGAACCCCCTCTAGTTAACCGGTCACCCCAGTAAGCAGGCTGGTAAGGCACAAGCTTACCAAGTAACTAGTTAACCCTTTACAGCCCTACTTCTCTTCAGGGACGTGCCTAGGAACGCCATGACAGTATGTTAGAAGTGTTATGCAAGTCATTCCAAAAAGGTACAATCTTGTGTTGCCTTAATCCCCACCCTCCACTTTTTTTTTTTTTAAAGTTAAATACAGTAAGTTTAAATCAGGTACGTAATGCTATTTACACATCTGTAGCACATCTAGTGAACATTTGCTTTGGCCATGCTGCCTGCTATCCTTCTACTGCCAATGACCACGAAGGAGGTTTTGCTACAACTGAGCTACCAGACACAGAAACATCTCTTCCTCAGCTCAATATCTGAAGCATTTCCCCAAGTGAAAGCAGATCCGTGTCATGTGACCAGCTCTTACTCAGTTTAAAGAGCCCTTGTTTGTATGGTGAATTAGTCAATTAATTATTATAACAGCCGCTTGTCTGGCTGCTTGAAAATTACCTAATTTCTTGGCCATCTTGCCTGCTTCCCCCTGACCATACTGAACCAATTCAAGCCATGCCACCAAGTCAGAGCAAGGAAAGCACTCACTGAATCCTCGCCTCCCTCCTCCTCCTTTCCCCCCACCCCTCATGATGCAGAATTTCACAGGGTCTCTTGTTACCATCTTTCTAGGTTCCTGTTTATACAGTCCCACTCTGCCCCTCCTCATACTATCCCGGTGGATAGACTGAAGGACTCTGATTATCATGTGAGGTTAAGAGGCCAACGCATTGCTGCACTTAGCAAAAAAAATCCAGATTCAAAAGCCTGCCAATGTCCTGACTACCAATACCTGACCACCAATGTTCCCTCTAATTTTTTGCATTCATGTGCAGAATAAATTTTGTTATGTGCACCACCAGAAGAAACATATACTGCCAGTTGTGGGCACTCTGCTAATCAGCTGGGCAGCTCCTAAATCTCTTCTGGGTGACCACCCAAACGCTCAGCTTACAGGGAACACTGCTGACCACTCAGCCACAGTTGGTTCCCCCTCCAAAGGAATGAAGGAAGGTCTCACATATAGGGGGTGCTCTTTCTTGCAGCTGCTTCAAAACTAAACTTGAGGTGGACTCCAACATTGGAAGCCAGTCACAAGGAGCAAAGCAACTATTAACATGAGAAGGAGGAGGAAAGATTATTATCCCCATTTTACAGATGGAGAACTGAGGCACAGTGGAAGAACTCACCCAAAGGCACATCAGAAGTCTATGGCATAGCCAAATCAATGCTTAGTGAAGTCATTTCCTATCCACCCCCACCCTGCCCAATGGAGACTATTGGTTTTAAAATGGAACTGTAAGCAGGATTCACTTGGTTTGACCATTAAATAAATGTTAACATTCTCCTAAAATCTTCAGGCGTACTGGAGGGTGGAACGGCAATCTCACATTAAAATCACATTAATGAGCTCACTTTGGTGCATGTAGCTGTGTGTTTTGAAAAAGACAAACCCAGCAAGAAAACTGGTCATTTATAAAGAGTTGCTCCCCCTTTCAGTCTGTGTGGTTTTACAATAACTTTTTCCTCTATTTTATGCAGTCAAATACACAAAGTGAACTGGAAAGAAAAGAGTT